TTTTTTGGATTCCCCGATTAAGAGTTTTTCGGATTCCCGATTAAGTTTTTCGGATTCCCGATAAGAGTTTTCGGATTTAAGAGTTTTTCGGATTCCCGGATTAAGAGTTTTTCGATTCCCGGATTAAGATTTTTTGGATTCCCGGATTAAGAGTTTTTCGGATTCCCGGATTTTTTTTTTCGGATTCCCGGATTAGAGGTTTTTCGGATTTTTAAGAGGTTTTTTGGATTCCCGGATTAAGAGTTTTTTTCGGATTCCCGGATAAGGTTTTTCGGATTCCCGGATTAAGAGTTTTTTCGGATTCCCCGGATTAAGAGTTTTTCGGATTCCCGGATAAGAGTTTTTCGGATTCCCGGATTAAGAGTTTTCGGATTCCCGGATTAAGAGTTTTTCGGATTCCCGGATTAAGAGTTTCGATTCCCCGATTAAGAGTTTTTTGGATTCCCGGATTAAGAGTTTTTCGGATTCCCGAGTTTTTCGGATTCCCGGATTAAGAGTTTTTCGGATTCCCGGATTAAGAGTTTTTCGGATTCCCGGATTAAGAGTTTTTCGGATTCCCGGATTAAGATTTCGGATTCCCGGATTAAGATTTTTTTCGGATTTCCCGGATTGAAGAGTTTTTCGGATTCCCATTTTAGAGTTTTCGGATTCCCGGATGAAGAGTTTTTCGATTCCCGGATTAAGAGTTAGATTCCCGGGATCCGGATTAAGAGATTTTTCGGCATTCCCGGATAAGAGTTTTTCGGATTCCCGGATGAAGAGTTTTTCGGATTCCCGGATTAAGAGTTTTTCGGATTCATCTTGATACTACGATAGAAAAAATACATAATAGACATAGTAGTAGTAGCAGTACTTAAAGATAAAACATCTTCTTAAAGTACTTAAAGATAAAAATTTTCGGATTCCCGGGGATAAGATTTTTCGGATTCCCGGAGTTTTTTGAATTCCCGGATTAAGAGTTTTTCGGATTCCCGGCATTAAGAGTTTTTCGGTTTCCGGGATTAAAGTTTTTTACGGATTCCCGGATTAGAGTTTTTCGGATTCCCGATTAAGAGTTTTCGGATTCCCGGGATTAAGAGTTTTTCGGATTCATCTTGATACTACGATAGAAAAAATACATAATAGACATAGTAGTAGTAGCAGTACTTAAAGATAAAACATCTTCTTAAAGTACTTAAAGATAAAAATTTTCGGATTCCCGGATTAAGAGTTTTTTCGGGATTCCCGGATTAAGAGTTTTTCGGATTCCCGGATTAAGAGTTTTTCGGATTCCCGGATTAAGAGTTTGAATGGGGAAAAAAAAGGGAAGATGGAGACTCTTTTTGGTAAGGGGGTTAATGGTCATAATGGTTAAAAGGAGAGGAAATGTGATATATATCGAAGGTCATGTGGTACTTTTTTGTAGGTCATGGAGCATCTTTTTTGTAGGGAGATTTATACATTTCTTAAAATTAAAGGGGTCATGTAGCAGTTTTTTTGTAGGTCATGTTGCATCTTTTTGTAGGGAGATTTATACATTTTTTATTTATTAGAATCAAAATTAATTAAAATTCTTGTCGAATGTAATAGGAAATCGAAGGTTTTGGTTCAGTGACTGACTATGGTTTCTTTGTTGGGCTAAGCACTCTTTTGCTCGAAATAGTCACTTGACACTGACTAAGTACGATTAAATTTATTAGTTTAGGATTAATACTTTGACGAAGACTAGCGGTTCCTAATTTTTTCACCATCAAAGAAGACATTTAATTTACTTTTTTATCTTATTTTTATTTTATTTTATTATCTATTTATTCTTTTTTTATCTTTTATTTTCTTGAATAAGGAATGTTTTGCCATGAAGCTGATTTTATTTACTAAGAAAATAATCGTTTTCCGGTCTCACATCTTGACTGAAGCACAGTTGTGTCAGCATGAAACTAAATAAAGTGTAAAAAAAAGTCACAGTTTGAAAGTTTACTCTCGACAACAATAGAAACATCATCAATAAGTAAACAAATAGCAATAAAATAATACAAATAACATTAAAATAAATGACATCCAAAATACAATTAATAAAATAAGACAAAAGATAGACAAGTAACAATAAATAAAGACATAAGATAGACAAATAACAATAAAATAAAGACAATAAGATAGACAATAACATAAAAAAGACAATAAGACAATAACAAACACAAATAAATAAAACAAACCTCAATAGAAAACGATAAACCAAAGACAAACAACAATAAAACAAACAAACAAACAAACAAACAAACCAACATCAAACAAACAAGCCAAACAACACCAAGAAAAGAAAAAGAAAAACCAAGCAAGCACCTCACCGCCCGTCCTCTCCCCGCAGGCCCCATGTCCCACCTGTTCCACCGCGTCCACGAGCAGAACTACGTCGCCCACGTCATGGCTTATGCGTCGTGTATAGGACCCTACAGCGAATGCGACCGCCCTGTCCAAGCTGTCAAGAACGTCTACAGTCACGTCAAGGGCCGCCCGAAGCCTG